ATCTTTTAAGCTATTCATCGTGTGTTTATGTTTATTTTCAACTATAGCTTTATAATAATAGCAAGGATAGTGTTTCGCCATATACATGGGGACGATCAGGCTATTCTTTGAAGATTTTCTTAGCTTTTAAAGGCAAGAAATCTTTGTAATTAAATTGATTTGTTTTTTATAGCCTTTTAGGACTTTTATGAGTAAATCATTATGATTTTTATCAGTAAATCATTATCAAAAATATTCTTACTATCTAAAAACATTTTCTGTTTTTCAATCTACCTAAGGTTGATAAACCTTAGGTAGATTGATATCCCTTAGATTATTGAAAGACAGACAATGTTGGGGTTTTTTTTTTTAGATAATAGTTTACTGATAAAAGTCCTGCTAATTAACGTGTATTTGGGCAGGTTGCAGAAGAGATGGATTACCCGCACATCCAAACTCACAACACAGTATTCCCAAGCGGTCACCCATCTATGTACTGATTAGGTTCGACATTACTTAACTTCGGTGATCGTACGGCTTAGGGAGTGTCCAGTCAATTTATCCCATTTTTACCCAAATAATTTCTAAACAGTTCAGAAGCATGCTTTGAACTGTACTTATATTCTTGAGAGTAAAGGTTCAGTTAGTCAGTTCTGGGCCATGGGTGATACAGGCTTAGGCGATCATGTATTTTTTCGATACATGACTGACTAGGCAGTAGGTTGCCATTACTTTCTGCGGTAGACCAATTGCCACCCAAGGCTATAGAACCCGGTCTGTCCTGCTATTTATCCATAGCTGGGGGGAGAAGAAGTGGATTCATACCTTTCCCAAGGGTATAAGCATGTAAGGGAATATCAATCAGTTATGTGCTATGCGTGATACACGCTTAGGCAATCATGTATCTTTCGATACTTGACTGACGAGGCAGATTTTTTTCCTGCAGTAGAGTGCCATTTCTTTCTGCAGTAGTCCACTTGCCATCCAAGGCTATAGAACCCGGTCTGTCCTGCTATTTACTCATAGCTGGGGGGGGGTGAAGAAGAGGATTCCTACCTTTCCCAAGTGTATTAGCACCTAAGTGAATGGATTCGACTGGCATTCGAACTCGGCTCTCCGATTCCACAATCCGGGCCGCTATCCATTACTCCACCGTGTCTCCCTTACTAAAGGTTTTGGCCGACAAATCGAATTCCAGTTGGCAGCATAACACCGCAAATTGTTCCCAAATCAAAACCAGAACCAGAAAACTCGAGCCATATTCTTAAAACGCTTGGTCGGATTGTGGTTTTCATATGGATACATGATACGAAACCCATTCAGAAATATCTAAACTGTCAGCTGTATACAACCGATTTCTCAGATCAATGATTAAAAATCTCTGGCGTTAGAGAATCACAAAGAAGTGTATCAAATAACGGAAACCACGCCACTTAAGTACTTTCAGCAAAAGCAACTAATTAGCACATTTAAATCGAAGAGAAATTGATGTCGACATGCCAAAATTGCAACGGACAAAAAGTTAAGAGTGTTTGGGTGTCAATCTGAAGACAGTGCAGACGATTCGGGAAGAGTTGGATGAGTCTAATGATGATTACGAAGGTACGGCAGCTCCAAAAAAACACACTCTGATCGTTCTAATAAGAAAAGAACTCCCGAATTTGTTGGTGAGGGCTTCGAACTCAACACGGAGACCTACATCAAGTGCCTTGAGGAGATAGTACTGCCATGGGTCAAGAGACACGCAGAACACAGTCCTGATTGCTAGAGAATTTTTGCGACCACATTACCCTTACATCTAGTCACCTAACTTTTCAGACTGCCCCTCCACTTGATTATTATGTGGGAGACCAATAAAACTCTTTTTTAACGCAAAAGATGAACTGAATGCAAGGATTATGGCAGCATTCACCAATTTAAACGAATATATCGTCCAGAAAAGATGCCGGATATTCTGAAGTCGTCGGAAGGCCGAGGTTGAAGCCAATGGCGATTTTGTTGAATACATTTACTCTGTAGTATTTCAAGATATTTTTCTGTAATTTTGCTAAATATATTTTTTAAAATGACATGTCACTTTTAACTCGAAGAGAAATTAATGTTATAATTTATCGAGGTACCAAATTACATCGGACAAAAAGTTATGAATGAAGCTCTAATCAATACTGAAAAGTGAGTTAACTGTGGTTTGAATTGAAGAACCTGTTTTCCTGAAAATTGTTTTAACAGAAAAATTTGACAAATTTCAACCGATATTGGCACTGATTTTCAGCCAACGGTTGCCGAATGTTACCTTATAAAGAATTCACGTCCTGTCGGCTGAGGTTGTAGATTCTGCTGGCTGCATCGAATCCCGCGTTCTGGGTAAGATGATAAACTACATCTGACAGCAAGACCTTTGCTCAGAATGTTTTGAGAAGCGTGGAACCACATCTTAATTGTTGGTGTACCCAGGTCCATCGTAAACCGGTATGGTTGCAGCTGTCAGGGTCCCAGATATTTTCAAATAGATACTCCCCCTACATGGGTCAAAACAATATGAAAGTATAAAAATAGGTTTTAATACCAGCAATACTTTTTGGAAATTTTTTTTACCAGCAATACATTTTTAAGAAAAAATATTACCAGAAATACGTTTTTGATAAACAATATTACCAGCAATACATTTCTGGTAAAAAACAAGGAAGATTACCAGCATACATTTTTGTAAAAAAAAATATTATCAATAATTTTGTCGGCATTAAATAACCCGTTGAGGTTGATATGCCATAAAACAGACCAAACAAAAATTAAAACGAATCTGCTGATATTACCATTGGAGATGATGAGAACAGATACTATACTTTGATCTAAGTCTGATTGACAGGGAGTGGCGAAAAGCATCACGGTATTAACTCCGTCTCCTTACTTGGACGAGATGTGACATAAGGTCTTTTTTTTTAGGTGGGGACCCGAGCGCGTACGCCCGGGACAAGGACGAAAATTGCCCACAGCCACCGCAACCGTCGGTTGTGCTGGCCTCGGTGTGAGCACCGATCCCTCCCTCTGGTGCAATGGGAGGGCGCGGCCTCGGGCAGCTGTTCCCCAGGCAGGGCTGCGCATCTCTTCAGTATTATTTTCTCAGTTGCCCCTCTGTCCTTTGACAAATGAATCTCCTGAACGCAGTCTGCCCAAAGACAGAGACGCAACTGAGAGATGATAAGCATGCGTTAGAAATTCCTCCAAGGAAAAGCATCACTCGAGTAGCACTGACTGTTGGTTCAACGAATATCGAATACTTCTTTATAATTAAACGGTTAAAACTACCACTGTGCAATTTATAAAGCGGACATCTTCAACATATTCAGCTTAGTTCCAAATCATAATGCTGACTCCATGTTTTGATGGATAGAATAACGCACTGTGAATAACATAACATTCGCTTTTTTATTCTTTTCAGCTATTACCTTCGATTACAAGATAAAAAAAAATATTTTTTTATTGCCCATGATTGCAGGGGCCATTAAAGATTTTGAGTGGTAGAGCATCTCAATTTGGCAACACTTCTAAACAGCATTCTGGTTTCAGTATCGTAATTTCCTTGATCGATGATTTTCAGCAGAGTGTGGGAGAGATATACAAATCTTGGCGTTTTATGTATGTATTGAACGCCATTAAAACTTTTCCCTACTATAATTTAATGTTCTTAACCTCAAAACGTAACAGTTTGAGGTTAAGAACATTAAATTACATTAAATTTAATATAGACAAAACCATTTTCTTCACTACAAACATGCAACTTGGTTTCAGTGCATTTCAACTGCACTTCGACGGGTGAGAATCGAAAATGGTTATGAAAAGTCCTGCTTGTAGGCAAGCCTTATGTGAAAATAAATACGCTTAAATTCATCCCTGCCGTACGCCAATGGCTTAGTGGTATAATTTATATAATATTTATATAATCCCCGACTGACGCCAATTCAGTCGGGTTTCGATCCTACTAGAGGCAACCGGACGTCTATCCACACTGATGCGCTGTGATACAGCGAAACAGTCTGTCTGTGGATGACAAATATATATATATATATATATATATATATATATATATATATATATATATATGAATAACGACAAAAGGATGACTTAGCCGACGCGTTTTGTCCTTTGAGGGACTTTATCAAGGTAAACGCCAAACATTTATAGACAAGAGCAAAAAATTTGTTAGTCTTTAAAATAGTTTGAAAAACTAATAATATTTTTGCTCTAGTCTATAAATACTTATTCGCAAAATAAAATCCTTGCATTTGCCTTGATAAATTTACGCATAGGACGAAACGCGTCGGCTAAGATAATTTTTCTTTATTGCATTTTTACCGATATATTTTATCTGAAATTTTGAACACACACACAATCGTATATAATACATGCGTTTTCTTAGGTATATAAGTTCTCTGTTTTAAATTCTTTTTAAAAAATACATACCCATTTTGTAAAATCGCTAAGCGTGAAAGAGCGCTGTAAATGGGTAAATAATACGATTTGTTGTACACACACACACACACACACACGCTCTCTCTCTCACACACACACGCACACACACATATATATGTATGAATGATTCATGTAATATAAATTGAACTACATCACATGTTTGATTTAAATAGAACTGATCC